GAATTAATGAATGACTCAATTCAAGGGTGAGCAGAGTTAAGGGAATACACATGGCATGCCTAGCTCCATAAACAAGGAGGCCCCAGTGTTTACCTCAGCCCAGAGGGAGCAGGAAGCTATTAAAGAAGGGCTGCTAAGGGGCTGTTGTCATGGATTGAGTAGTTACGAGACCCAAAGAAAGGGAACAGGAAAAATAGCCACACCTGGGTCATACGGCCTTCACCCTGTAGGTATATGGCACTGAGTGTACTGTCTGGCCAGAAGCCAGCTGACCTGGGGTCCTGGTGTACAGGGGTAGCCCTCTGAGATAGAGAAGAAACTAGAAAGGTAGGAAATAGATCTGCTGAGCAAACAAAGAACCTTGGCTCAAACACATTACCTGGCACTGCAATGATGGCTCCGTCAAGCTACTGCCAGGACATGTTGTTGAGGTGTCAGCGTACATACAGAGGAAGGAATGGCTGAAACATCTTCCAAAGCTCTAACTCACTGATGGCAACCTTTCAGAGCTTTCAATGATACAAACAACCTGAGTGCCTGGGGCTCACCACCACTGCTCTAAGTAAATTATTTAAGTCATGGCCATGTCTTAGGTTTACCTTGCAGTAACCAAAACAACTGGCACAGGCTATGAAAGGTACTACAAAGGGAAACCTTGCCTGCTCACAATGCCACCATCTCTTACCTCTGAACTCACAGAACACTCTTTAAAAATTGTATATATTTTGGGAATACAAGAGATGTTTACATACTCAACAGCTGAATGCTTACGACAATCAACATATCCACCAGTGCATGAACTATTCTTTGTTGGAAGAACATTTATTTAAAATCTACTCTGAGCTATTTCTAAGTCTATACATTAATGATACACTAATACATTATAAACAGTAGTCATTATGCTGCACTGTGCATCTCCAGAACTCTCCCTCTAACTTAAACCTTGTGACTTGTGACCAACATCTGCCACTCATCACCAGTTCTAGTCCCTGCTCGAGTCTGGCATTTTAGCTTTCATATATGAGATCACAGTTTGTCTTTCTGTTTTCATTATTCCATGGAGCATAACATTCACCAATACTGCAAACAGCATTTCCTTCTTTTTAAAGCTGAAATGTGTATTACTGTGTACTTACAGCACATTTTCTTCATCCATCCATCCAGCCAGCCAGCCAGGCAGTCAAACAGCCAGCCAGCCATCTGTTGATGGACACTTAGGATTGAGGTAGGAAAGAAGAAATAAACTAAGTAGAAAGGTGACGAGGAAATTGAGATTTAGAAATTGTACTTTGAAGAAAAACTGCAGCCTCAGAACACACATCTGGTTTATTTGTTTTTTTCCTTCTCCCAAAACAGCAACTGAGCAACTCTCTTTCCACTGCAAATGGGTCTGCTCAGGCCCTTTTACTTGCAAGTGGTTCTCTTCCACACAGCAATGGAGCAAACCTTTGAGATTTCCCCAAGGAACAGACCCTTATTACATCGTTAGTGATAGGCCATCATCTCCCACCAAGACTTATACACTGTCAAATCCCATAGATTTCCAACTCCCAAAACACATGTTAAATCTTGCCACCACTGTGACATCCTCATTTTCTTCAGTATTTGCACTTTGCTCAGGAGCATCTCATATCTCCCCTAATCCTTCTTGTACCTCTTTTACAGAAGCATCCTAAAAATTCTTTTTTCCTGAAGGGAGTCAGAAAATCTGTGTACTTATTTCAGTGGGGTGGCTTAAGGTCTCTACTTCAGGCTTGGGGACCCTCGGGCCTAGTGTGGATATTACAGACAGTGATGCTAGGTAGAAATATTATAGGCAGTCAGAAAGGGTTAGGCCATTGAGGAAATCAGTGCAGAGGATGAGCACATGTGGCTAAAGATGCATCCATGCAAGGTCAGGTCTTAAGATGGAATGGTCAGTCCTACATGTCTCCTCAAGGGATAAGCAATGCAATATAATTAGTATCACACACAACAAAGCCTAGATAAACATCAGTCACCCAAATTGGTGACCAGAACTTCTGAGTCTTCTTTTTCAAAACATCCTTATTCTGTCCATGTATACTTGCTACGTGACTTGCCACTGGATCAACGTTACCAAAGCGACCATACATGTTATCTCATAGGTTGATAATAGTTTTGTTCCACATTGTATTCACTCATGATCTGCTCTATAAAACTTGTGAGAAGTGGGTTCATTGACTATCCACTTTGGGGGCCTCTGCTGTGTCTCAGGAGCTCTCTCTCTCTCCAAATTTTCCTACTCTCAACCTCCATTGTTCCTCAGAGTTCATTCTTTGATGATGGGGAGTGCAAACTCAGCATATCTGACACCTGGCAGGTTGGGAGTTCTATTTCCCCTATATCATTTGGAGATCCTGTATCACAGTGACAAGATACAAACATGTGAAAGAGCTCTAACATTAGAAAGATTTTCATGACCAACAGAGTTGATAAGAAAGCTGTTAAGTTAGGAGGTACAAGCTGTAGTTCTACAAGTGAATAGCCCCTAAACAAAGGTAACTATTGCAGGAGAGAATCAGACACATGAAAATGCAAGGGGAAGGGCTGGAGAGATAGCTCAGTAGTCTAAAGTGTCTGCTTAGGCAAGCTTAGGCAAGCCTAGGGACCACGGTTCGATCCCTGGCACAACATGCCATGCCAGCCCCGCCCCCAGGGCAGGCTGAGCGGGCCACAAAAACAAAGAGGGGAAAATTCACAGATAAGGCACTAAATTAGAGGTAACAAATAAAGGGGAAAGCAAGAACTAAGGATGACCCCTAACAGTTTCTAGCAAAGCAAAGATTTTTGTCCTCTCTTGACCAAATCAGTTCTCCAAAACATGGAGCGAGGTGGGATAAAAGGAGGATGACAAAAATAAGCTCCTTCTTTTTTTTTTTTTTAAAGGTGTAAACATTTATTTAGCTCACAGTTTGTAGAGGTTTCAGTCCATAACCAACTGGGTCGAAGGAGTGGATTCACAGAGGAGAAACAGTTCATGGCAGGCAGAAGTCAGCAAAGCAACAAATGGCTACTTAGGGCAGGTAGCACACCCTTACCACTATTGCCCTTGATG